TATATGTGTACGCGAAAATAAAATTTCTGTTATAGAACTCAGCTTTATCAAGTCACAGAGATACAAAGTTGGAAGTTTGTCCATTGCTATATTAGTGGAGTTGACACAATAAAATCAACAAAAATAAAACAAGTTGTAAAGAGAAAAGAGCAGTATCAGCAGCAATTAAAAATGAGAGTTAAAAAATTTAAAAAAGAAGAAAAACTCAACCAAATAATTCCAGAAAATTATAATTGCTTTATAACAGAATGGACATAACAAACATTGCACTTGCTAGTATGAGGCATCACACTATCTTATGAGAAACCGCAGAAATAGGCTGCAGCACTTATATATGCAAAAATTATAACAAAGAATGATACATCGATGATTATTGATCACAGCAAGGTTAAAAGGGCGCAAGAGAAGTTAGCAATCGAATTAGATAATAAACTTAATAAAGATCTTGAAATTAATGTGGTTTTATGTATTTTTTTTGATGGCAGGAAAAATAATACAAAAGTATTAACAGAATTTGACGGTAGTTATTTCCGTGGTCTTCTTGAGGAAGAACATTATTCTCTAGTTACTGAAACAAGTGGTAGATATCTATTTCATTTTGTTCCTAATTACAGAAAACATGCTGAAGTAATTGCAGACCACTTGGTTAAATGGTTGGTGAAAAGAAATTTAGGCACATAACTAAAAGCTATAGGAGACAGTACAAATGTAAATACTGGTTGGGAAGGGGGTGTGATGCAATGGGTGAAAAGAAAATTGAAAAAGAGATTAGTATGTGATTGTGTGTGATCATCACACAAATAAGTTAGGGTTAAGGCATTTAATTATAAGCTTAGATGGCCCAACAAAATGTGAATATAAGTGGTCAGGACTACTTGGAAAGATGTTAAATACAGCAACAAGTCTTGAAAATAATCCCTGATTTACAAAATTTGATGTTAAGCCTGCATTAATTGTTCTTAGTCCTGAAGTAATAAAAGGTTTAAGTTCTGATCAGAGCTATGCTAACAGAAAAAAAAAAGCAATAAGGTCTGGTGATTTACCTCAGAAGTTAGCAATGCTAGAAATAGGACCTGTTTGCCATAGCAGGTGGCTCACAACAGCATTAGGATTTTGCAGGATATAAGTTTCTCAGCATGGCCTATATGGTACCAACCTTCAAAATCTTACCTGGATTGTCGAATTTATCTGTTGGCGTTTATATTCCAAACTGGTTTAACATAAAAGTTAAATCACGTTGGGTTGAGGGACCAAGACACGTTTTGTAACAATTAGAACTCCTCAGAATCCAGAGGAAACCAGTTCTTGATATTGTAATGCCCACAATTAAAAGATCAGCTTAGTATGTGCATTCAGAAGCAAAATTTACAAACTATAATATGCAGTGAGAGTAAAGTAGAAAGAGTTTAAGCTGTTATTCTTAAGCTTTGTGAAAAATATCAGGAGCAAACTAATACTGGTGTAAATAGCCATAGACATTGAAGAACACCTGATATTAACATTGATGCTAAAAATCTTTTTAGTTTGATAGACTGGAGCAATAATATAACAGAACCATTAAAGATATTAAAGATTTAATTAATAAACCCATGGCTGTTCCCCAATGGAGTTCATATACACAATCAGTTGAGAAGTGTGCACAGCTTGTCACAGAAGCTGCAGGACATATCTACACATCAGAAAAAAGAGAAGCTTACATAAGAGCCCAATTCATTAGTAGAGAGTTGATGTCTGCTAATAGGAGCAAGAAAGGCATGATAGAACTTTTAAACTTTACTTAAATAATAAAGTGATTTTTTACTTATTATTTTTTGTTGAGCTCAAAAAGTATAACATTCTGTTGTTGTTTTAACATTCAACCTAAGGATTTTTTAGTATTATATTTAATAAACACCTAATGTTCAATAGATTACATATTATTTTAATAAAATAGTAGTGTTTTTTTTATATAATATTAGTTGCCAAACTGCCCTAAGTGTAAGAAGCCCTAAAATGTATTTAGTAAAAAATACTATGTAAATAATAATAATAAATTATATGTATTTTGTACAAAATATAAGGATTTTTAAAAGAATGTTGTTACATATTTTACACAGAAGCAGAATTTTTCAAAATTTTTCTTTACATTGCAATGGATAGAATACTTAAAATAATTAAAAATAAGACTGTTTGACTCTAAGGAGAAAAAGGTTAGTCAAAACAACTAACCATTTTTCTGTGGGTGCGCATCAAGTAGTTTGTAGAATAGCTATAAAGAGTAAAATTAAAAATTAAAAAATATGTAGCTAGCGCTAAAATTCAACAAAATTTAAAGTTACGTTTCTTATTTATATATAAAATCATAATATTATTTTAATATAACTTTTTTGAAAAATTTTTTTTTTTAAATGACACATTCTAATATATATATATATATATATATATATATATATATATATATATATATATATATATATATATATATATATATATATATATATATATATATATATATATATATATATATATATATATATATATGTATGTACAAATATATATATATATATATATATATATATGTACAAATATATATATATATATATATATATATAATATATAAATATATGTACAAATATATATATATATATATATATATATATATATATATATATATATATATATATATATATATATATATATATATATATATATATATATAATATATAAATATATGTACAAATATATATATATATATATATATATATATATATATATATATATATATATATATATATATATATATATATATATATATATATATATATATATATATATTTACACTGTGTTTCAATAAAGACTCATCAGAAATAAATGATCAAATTAATAAAACCTCAATTTATATCAAAAAATTAAGTTACAGCAAGTCGCAAATGTTTAAACTACTGTATATTTTCACACATTTGTGAAATTTGCTGATACTATTATAAAAAGAATTCTTTTGAAATGATTACTTATGCTCTTTTAAAAAATATATTTTTCAAACGGGGATTTATTGTCACAATTATTTGAGCTCACTTTTTTTTATAGTTGTTTAGGAGAAACTTAAAAAAAAAACTTTTGTGCCTGCATTTAGAAATCAATTAAACATTCTTGGTTTGCATGTGTAATTATATATATATATATATATATATATATATATATATATATATATATATATATATATATATATATATATATATATATATATATATATATATATATATATATATATATATATATAATAATAATAATAATAATAATAATAATAATAATAATAATAATAATAATAATAATAATAATAATAGAGTTTGATTATTTGAAATATATATATATATATATATATATATATATATATATATATATATATATATATATATATATATAATAATAATAATAATAATAATAATAATAATAATAATAATAGAGTTTGATTATTTGAAAAAATACAACTTTTTGATGGTACTTGAAGTTTCATGGCCTTCGGCAATCATCAGCCATATTTTATTCTTTTAAAACAAGAAAAAACTGTTAAAAAATACAAAACACAAAAATTAACAGAAAAAACAATAACAAAGCAATAGAATGAGTTCTGACGTCAAAACAAATTTTTAATTAGAAAATTGTTTAATCGGCTGTGTCGAAATGGGCAGGCCTTGCGATAAAGCGTCGGGCGATGTGAATTTTACGTCGTCCAAGGGCGATTTTGCGTGTAGCTAGGGCTATTTGCGTCGAGCAAAAAATTTTTTGTTTGAGTATATTTAAAGATATTTTTGAGCGGAATTTTAATGAAGTAATTGACGATTATTTTAACATTTAATAAAGTATTTTAAAAACTGCATGCAGTTGAAATAAAAGTTTGAATTTAAAAAAATTAAATATGCTCATTATTTTCAAGTAGAAAAAATTCAAAAATTAAAAAAAAAAGTTTAAATCTTTTAAGCTAACATTTTAATAAAATTATTCAGCAATAGCAACGTTGTCGATAAAATTGAACAAAAATACTTTCTTTTAGTTTAAGATTTTAAACTTAAATAATTAATTTACAGGGGTTTGATAGGTTTTAAAATTATTCCATAGATTTAAAAATATTTATTAACTGTTAGACGTATTTAAAGTATTTAAGAGTGATTTCGAGGAAACATTTTAAAAATTGCTGAGGGCAAATAAAAAAAAAAAAAAGATTAATATTAAAATGTATTCTACTTGATTCAATGAAAAAGTACAGTTATTAAAATTTTTGTAAAAAGTAACTCAAAAAAATTACTTATACTAAATAATAACGATCGCTTTTATGTTAAAAGTTACCGAAACTCAACGAAGCGTGCTCAAGAACAGCTGCTGAAAAATAGAACGTCAATAGTTTTTCGAATAATTTTTAAAAATAATTTTTTCGCTAAAATATTTCTTTTATACCTATAAGATTTTTATTCTATCATTTTATTTTATTTTACTAGAAATAAAATTCCTTGTTAACATTAAAAATCTATTCAAAACGTTCGTTTAAGTTTTTTATTAATACGAGTGATTGTGCTTATCAACCGCTTTATGAAAATAAATAAAAATAAATAAATAAATATTATATAAAATCGCTTGTAAAAATATTAGCTATTGCACAGTTTTTAATCGTACAATATTAAAATTTCCAGTTAATTACTCGCTGACTTTTTAAAAAGAAAAAATAATTATTTGAAAAACTTTAAATTACATATTTAAGAAAAAAAAAAATCAAATATTAGCATATTTTATAATCTTTTTTAAATTTAAGTTATAATGTTTTTTATTCGTTTAGTATAGACAAAACGTGACAAACTCGAGAAAATAAACAAATGTTTTTACATTTTAAAAAACAAAACATTCCAAAACATTTTTAAATAATAACATTTCTACATAAACGATTTAAAGTAGTTATGCGGTAATTAAATAAATTGGTGCAGTTAATGTCGATAAATATGAAAAGCAAATAAAAAGAATTTAATGACGTCAAAAATCACGTCGTGCTTATGCGTCGCGCAGCTCTTATTCATCGCAAGGCCTGAATGGGCGAGAAGAAACTTGTTTCGATGCCTGCACTTGGATATCATTTCACTTTTTTTGTTAATTAGATTTTTATTTTTGGAAAACAGAATTTGATATTTTTCATTTATACACAGTTTGCAAGACTTCATGGTTGGGTTGTAAGCATTGCACTGCTTAATTATTTTCCATTTAATAACTGGATTTAAATTTGCATCTTTCAGTTTCCAAAATTCTTTTGATAGTTCAGTGTCATTTTTGTATTTTAGAATGGTAAAAGATTTTATATGGTTGGCATATCTAATTTTGAATGGTGTTTCGCTTATACCGATGTATAGTTTGTTGACAGGAGTGGTAGTAGGATTAGTTGAACTTATTTTAGCTTGGTATACAATGTTTTTTGTTAAGCATTGGTTTGATAGAGGGCAGGTGCTTTTATTAAGGCAGTTGCAATTGGTTTTAAGTGGATCTTTTTTGTTGTTCATAATTTGTCGATTGTGTGCATTTAGGATAGATTTCATGTTCGGCATACAGCTATAACTTACTTTTATGGTGTTTCTGTTGAAGATTTTGTGGAACTTGTGATTTATTGGGAAGTGTTTGTTGACTAAAGTTAAGAAGCTTTTTCCTATGTTAGTGCTTACATTTTTGCTGAAAGGTGGGTTAAACCAAATGATGTTGCGTTTACGGTTTTTTGTATAAGGTGAATTTAAATTAGGGTGGTATGAAAGTTTATGATTAAAACCCGACTTTAACAGTGCGTCATTGTATGCAGGAGTAGATCTTTGGAAAATTTCTTCACTTGAGGAATTTGCAGACAATCTTAACTCAATTGAATGCGGAAGCTGTTTTAAAATATTTGGCGGGTGGTTTGAATCAGTGTGAATATAATTTAAAGAATTTCCGGGCTTAGAATATGGTTGGAAAGTATGGTCATTTAGATTTAATGTGACGTCGAGGTAATTTACAATTTTCATGTTGCATTGTATTGATATATTGTGTTCGTTTTTTTTAAATATTTCAACAAGATGTTTTTTAATTTTTTCCATTTGGGGCCACTCATATTTTTAAAAACTGCTAAGCCGTCATTGCGGTATAGTCCGAAATCATTTTTATTATAAGCCTGTGCAACTTGAGACAATAGATAAGTTCCCACGAGTTGACAAACTTCAGCACCGTCAAATGCTCCCATTGAAACATCGAATAAACCGCCTGATTTTTTAATCCAAACTTGATCATCATTATATAATAATGACTTCCTTGCGTGATAGATCAGTGATTTATGGTTAGGTTCAATATTTAGATGTTGTTCAGCGAAATGGATAGCATTGTTGAGTAAGGGTTAGTCTGGTGCCCTGATGACAGTTAATCTGCTGCACTTTAATTAATCTATATAGCACGCAATCAGACAATATTTCAGTGGAAAAAATCTAACTAACCAGGTTCTAGAAATTTTTGGAACTTTGGAACTTTTTCCACGTTTTTGACGTTTTTTGTAAAACTTTATGGTCATTGAGCACCCCCTAAACATTATCTGATTGGAAAGATTTTTTACACAGTCAATTACTATGTCAAATGGCACAAAATAAACAACTATGCATTCAAATCCGAGAAAAAAATTTTTTTCCTGTGTTCACATGAACAGCCCTAATATATATATATATATATATATATATATATATATATATATATATATATATATATATATATATATATATATATATATATATATATATATATATATATATATATATATATTTATATATATATATATATACATATATTTGCACACAGATATACATATACATCAGGCTTGGACAGGTATGGAGTGCAATCACATGCTGTAACTGACCACGCTTTTAATTATTTTTTTTTTCAGGTTTGTCACTTAACCTGAAATACCTGGAAATAGCATGAATCCTTAGGAAAACCTGAAAAACTCCGGGATTATTTAAAATGTTAATAAAACTAAGGAAAAATATTTTTTTTTTGAAATTTTGTATAATAATTTTTTTTTAATAGTTACAGAGAATTTGCTTTGTCATTTTATGACGTTAAATTGCACCCCTTACTGGCCAAGCCTGCATCTTATCTCAAATAACCCATGTTCTCTTGTTGAACAAAATCAACTTGCAGAGTCCCACACAAGAACTTACCTAGTATACTACTACTACTACTACTACTACTACTACTACTACTACTACTACTACTACTACTACTACTACTACTACTGCTACTACTACTACTCTACTACTGCTACTACTACTACTGCTGCTGCTGCTGCTGCTGCTGCTGCTAATGCTAATTTTGTGTAATAATAGATTTTAGTATCATTATAAATGCTTATTCTTATATATGAGCGTTAAAATGTATAATACTACTACTACAGCTATTGCTAGTATTGTGTAATATAGGTTTTAATGTCATTATAAATGCTTATTCCTAAAATGTGAGCGTTAAAATGCTGTTTTGAAAATCTTTTTTTTTTCATGCTTTTTTTTAGTTAATGTTCAGAAAAACAATAGAGAACTACATCAATCATGTAATAATCAATCAAAGCTTACTGTTAATTATGGGTTGCCAGACTCTTATGATATACACACTATTGGTGAAAAGACTAGTGAGTGTGAAATGATTTCACCAGTTGAAAGGAATCTGTCAGGTTAATTTTATTTTATAATACATTGCTGGTATTTTTAGTTTAATTTAAACATTTACGTATCTTTGAGTAGTTAATAATCTTTAATTATTTTATTAACTTTTATATCTTAAATATCTTTAATAATTTAATAATAAAGACTCTAAAAGAAATCAGTTCTATACAACAGGTTTGGTAATAATGATAAAACAAGAATGAATATGCATGTCCAATAAACATAAAGTAACAATATTACATTTTCAATTTTACAACAGATTTTTACAACAGATTTTTACAAGTGATACCACATGATTCATGTGGTATCACATTATCAATCACAAGCTTTGAAATAATTTTGAAACAATGGTCTATATAAACTTTGTGTTAGTACCCCTTTTATAATTACTGTAAATATCTTTTTTATTAGTTTATCATGTGAAAAATATTTTTAGCAATATAATTAATGCTTTCTATAAATATTCAAAATAAACCTTAGATAATACAAGAAATTGAATGAAATTTAAAATTACTGAGTGTTTTTTAATCTGCTCCAGCTTCAAAAATTATGAAACTTTATGAAAAATATTTATGGAAAATTATGAAATTAAAAAACTAACAATTTGTTAACTTTTTGCAAAAAAACCTTATTTCTAGGATATAAATGTGATTTAGGATCCTGTAAACGAAAAAGATCTTCTAATATATTTATTTGAAAAATACAACAACAGAAAAAAATAGTTTAACCGTAATACCTTGATCCATTAAAGTTTTTTTGATTGAGCCATTGATAGTTGGTGTTTATGATTTTATATTTAAGTCTTTCATACTCCATACAACCATTTCATACTTCATACAACCATTTCATACTCCATAAAACCATTTCATACTCCATACAACCATTTCATAATTCATACAACCATTTCACATTCCATACTACCATTTCATACTCCATACAAACATCTCATACTCCATACAACCATTCTTTACATTTTAAAAAATTCACAGTTGGCAATATTTTAAAAGCTGTACAAAAAGTCACTTTTATTAATGTGTTCCTTTTCTTTTTATCTTTATTATTCAAAAATAAGTGTTGATTTAAAATAGTATCTCATTGAAATTTCTTTGAATACACTATTTAGGGTAGACATTTTTGTAACGCTATAAAAAAACTTTTTTATTTAAAGTTTTAATAAACTTCTAAGTTTTAAATACTAAACAAAGTTGCAAATACTATTTTTAAATATTTATTAAAAATTATTTAGAGTATTTTAAACATTAGATACTATTTTTTATTATATATTATTTTTTATTTTATATTATTATATTTTAAACATTAGAAACTATTTTTTATTAATTTTAGTTGTTATTAAATGTTTAAAATACTCTAAACAATTTTTATCTATAATTACAAATAGCGTAGTTAAGTTAAAATAATAGTCAGCCTATGACAAATCGTTTTTTTTAAATGAACATTGATATTCCTATCTTTATTTATTGACAGACAATAAATTTAAGAATTTTATGTATGGTTGCTAGACGTTCAGGTTTTACGAGGAGATTACTGCGCCAAACCTGTTAAAATAAATTTTTTTACTGTGTTCTCCATTTTAAAAGTCGGACATCTGGCAACCCTAGGTATATCTAGTAAGGGAGTTTTATTTTCAAATAGTTTTTATTTTAGTTATTAAGTTATTAGATATATCAAAGATACTTATTGAGTTAAATCAATACTTTGCTTTTTCAAAACAATTTTTCATGCATTTGCAAATTAATAATAATTAAAATGCAATAACCAAATGATTGTAAACTGTTACCCATTAATACAAAGTAGTAAATTTTTCTCACTTTAGTTTGTTAAATTTAATTGCTTATAAAAATTTTATAAACTTGAGAAAATGAATGTTGTTTTGACATTTTTTTTTTAAATCTTAAAAAAAAAAATATCATATTAGACATTTGATAAATTATTATATTAAATTATTAATGATGATATTTAATGATGTTAATATATTATTATATTTATAATATTAAGTATTTAATAGTAAAAATATAATTTTATTACTCTAATAGTAGATTAAACTATAATAAGCATATTAATCCTATATATTCTATTAGATTATATAATTTTAAGTAAAAGTTAATTTTTTTAAAAACTTTTAAGTGTTTTTAGTATGCAGACAAACATTACGTTACTTTAATAGTAATAAGAAAATTTTGAAAAAACTTTTGAAGAATGCAGTATTTTTGCATGGTTTTTTTAAAAGTAATTGCATTGTTTCTTTTTAAAAAAATACATTTTATTTTAAGTAAGGTTTTGCATGCTTTTGTTAACGCATGCAAAAGCCAATAGTTAATAATAATTTCAATAGCATACATAGTCATTCAACTTCAACAAGTAACGCTATTGAAGAAAGTAATTATATTTAGCATGGCTTCTTTAAAAGTTGTTGAAAATGCATTTCAAATTTTAGTAATTTATTATTTTTTATTATAAATATGTCTTTAGTATAATAAACTATAAATCGCATAATTATTTGGAAAATAGTTGCTGAAATAATGCGTTCATTTAAAAAAATTTTAAGCCAATACCAATGTTTGCTTAAGTAAAAGTAAAGAAATGTGATATTTGTTTTTCTATCATTTTTTTAACAAACATTTGCACGTTTGTCAATTTGTTGCACCCTGAAAATAATTACGATTATTATATGTCTAATAAATGTTTGTCTATTATTTGTATCAAGTATTTGAAATAGTTTAATAGTTTTCTTTATATAACATAATATTTTATATAGTCAATAACTATTTGAATGCAAAATGTAACATTCAATAAGTGTATTTACTATTATTTTATTTTGGCTAATTAAGGCTAATAATTTTCACAGTGTTTCAAAACGTCTTTTAAATATAGAGATAATTACGGTAAATTTATTAATTAAAAAATTATATATAATTTAAAAATTTGCTTACGTTAAACAAATTACTTTCGCTTAGGATTTATATATTTTTTAATTTAATATATTGAAGTTTAAAAATAACTTGAGTTTAAAAAACTACTTTAAATAAAATAAAAAAACTTTGGTAATTGTTATTTTTATTAAAGTCAAAGTTTTTTTTTTTTTTTTGTTGTTGTTTTTTTTGTTGTTGTTTTTTTTTTGTTTTCCTAAAAAAAAATAAAAAGCCAGCTAAAAATCAAAGGTTTATTTATTCAAAAATTAAGTTTGCACGATTTCAATATAGTTATTAAGAAATTTTTATTTTTATAAAACTTTTAATTGCTAACAAGTTAAAGTTAACTTTACTCTAAAAAAATATTTTAAAATCTTTCTAACAAATTTTTAATACATTTATTTGTTATTATATTGAGTTAAATAAAAAATAAAGTATTTAATGCTAAACGCTAAGCATGAAATAAATTTTTAGTTCATTCTATTGTCCTGAAAAAAAAAAAGAACTTTTTAAAGTAAACAGAAATTATTTATTTACTATTGCATTTGTAGCCAAAACTACTTTTGCTATATTTATTAAAAAATGAAAAAAGGAAAATAACAAACAAATATTTTTTGGGACGCACACACACACACACAGAGACATGTGTGTGTGTGTGTGTGTGTGTGTGTGTGTGTGTGTGTGTGTGTGTATATATATATATATATATATATATATATATATATATATATATATATATATATATATATATATATATATATATATGTATATATATATATATATATATATATATATATATATATATATATATATATATATATATATATATACATATATACACACATACACACATACACACATACATACATACATACATACATACATACATACATACATACATACATACATACATACATACATACATACATACATACATACATACATACATACATACATACTTACATACATACATACATACATACATACATAATGTTCAATGTAGTCTTTAATGACATTTAAGAAATACTTATTTTCTTGTTGACACTTAGATGCAAGTTCATTTTGTTTGTTTAACATAGGCAATGAATGGTGAATAATAAAAAGCTTAAAAACTTTTTTTTTGATTTTAGTAACTTTTAGTTTTTTTTATGTAGTCTTAATACTTTTTTCTTCTTTCATCACATATTTTCCATTATTAAAGTTTTGCTCTGGTATTAAAAAATATTTAAAGTGTTAAACTACTGTAAATTACTGAAAATATTTTATTTATAAAGTATTAAATCAGATTTTTTTTTTCTTTCTTATTAAGTAAAACTTGTTTTAGTAATCTTTCTCTTGATTTAAAAGTTTTTTGTTGTGGTTATCCACCTTAAATCATGTGCAACATCTGAAACTCATTCATATTAGGGACCAACATTTATTCTTTTTTATTTGACTACATATAAATGCATAAATGGTGATAAAATTATGTGATATTTCTCCATCAAGCATAAATTACAAGATTTGCCACCGGGTTTAAACAGCTTAGTTAGATCTAAAATTTTCCACGAAAAGGATAGGATTTAAAAATCAATAGAAAAAATCAATATGGCAAACGTGGAGTATCTGCCCTGATGTGACAAATGTGTTTCAGAAGTTGATTACCTATCACCCGGTAGTGGATGGTCATGATATCGCTAGATTCAGATGTATGTTGTTTTATTGTATAAAATTTAAAGAAGCCATTAAAAAGTGATGTTACCGTTTGTTTGTAGTTGAATTTAATTAACAATTTGTAATTTAAGCTGTAGATCTAATTGAATTATTAACAAGATTAAAGAAGAAGAATCTAGCAAAAATTTCTTAGATCAAATAAAAAAATTAGTATTGAGAGAATTCGTATTTATTGATGTTCATATATTATATATATATATATATATATATATATATATATATATATATATATATATATATATATATATGTATATATATATATATATATATATATATATATATATATATATATATATATATATATATATATATATATGTATATATATATATGTATATATATATATATATATATATATATATATATA